TCTTTTCAGAAGGCCATGTTAGACTTAGGGATGGAAGGATAGAAGAGTAGGGGAAAGAAAAAAAATAGTTGAGTGAGTGGGGGAGAAATTTGGAGGAGGTGGGGAGGAAAAGTTTAAGTGAGGCAAGTGAGGCAGCAAGATCATTCAGTAGAGCAGGAAAAGAAGGCTTTGAAGGAAGAGGTCAACTACCTTTAGATACTTGAGAGAGAGAAAATCTGGAGAGGAGAACTTTTGAAAGGCTAAAAGAAGGATACTGAGAAGGCAGTAAGTGAAAGATTGGAGGAACATAAACAAAGAGGTAAAGGAAGGAATTTGAGGGAGGGAAAGTCTTAAGGAGGAAAACAGAGGAAAGAACAATAATGAAGACTATTCAAAGGAGGATGTGGGGGACTGAAGATCTTTTGAGAAATGAAGGAAACTAAATAGAAGTTCAATAAGGACTTTTAAGTGACTTTTAAGGTGATGAGGGAAGGAAAGTATTTGTGAGGATAAGAAAGGGAGGACCTAGGCAAAAACCACAGAAAGAAGACCTCTGTGAACATGGTTGAAGGAGTAAATTTTATAGGGAAAGGGGGTAAAGGAATTTAGTACTCTGTGAGCAAATGGAATTTTTTCTTTGTAAGGGAAATTGAGGGAAGAAAGCCTTTGAAGTGGAAGAAAGGAAGGAAAATAAAACTGTGAGGATAGTGGAGGCAGTGAAGGTATTTGCTAGAGAAGGTGGGGGAGTTTATAATTTTGTAAGTGGAGAGCATGGTAAAAAATTTTTGATAAAGGAAGGAGGATAATAAATGTTAGGAGAGACAAGCGAAGTAAGAACTCTCTGAGAAGAGGCAAGGGAGAAAATGTCTATATAAGGGAAGGTGAAGAAGTGAATGCATTAGTGAGAGAAGGAAGGCCCATGTTAGGGGAAGTTAAGATGGTTATTTACTCTGGGAGGGGGATGGGAGTAAAATGTGTTTGTAAGTGGAGATCTGGGAGAAAAGAAATTTGAGCATATCATTGAGGAAGTAAGGGCCTTTAAGCACAAAGTAAGAAAAGGAAATACTTTGAGATGGGAAGGCTTTAGAGAGAAAAGAAGGCATTTTATGTGAGTAAACATAAGAAAGATTAGAGCTTTGCAATAAGAGGTGAGGATGGGAAGGGATTTGTGAGGGGAAATATGTAAAGAAAGATATTTATAAAGGGAAGAAGAAGAAATAATTTGTGCAGTGAAGTAAGGGAGATTAGTAAGGTGAGGTTAGAGGTGAAAAGGCTTTTAGAGAATAGACAGAAGTTAGTACTTTAAGTGGTGAGGTAAGGGAATTTATTAGATGTGGCAGAGATAATATAAAGAAGGTTTTAGGGAAAATGAGGGGGAACACTTCATAACCAATTCTATGAAGCCAGTATTAATGTGATACCAAAGCCAGACCAAGACACAGCAAGAAAACTACACACAATTATTATTTATACATATGGATTCAAAATTCCTCAACATAATTCTAGAAAACCGAATGGAACAGCATAATTAAAAGGATATCCATGGTGACCACTTGTAGTTTATCCCAGGAATACAAAGATGTTTCAACAGAAATCACAAGCACAGCAACCAATGTAATATACACCACATTAGTAGGATGAAGGGAAAAATCATTACAATTGATGCAGAAAAAATTGACAAAATACAACACCCTATCCTGATAAATTTCCTCAGCAAACTAGAAACAAGAAATTTTCCTCAGCATGGATAAAGAACATTTATGAAAAACCAATGGCTATTATCATAATCAATGGTGAAAGTTTGAAAGCTTTCCCATTAAGACAAACAGGCCCACAATCACCATTGCTATTCAATATTATACTAACTGCTTTAGCAAGAGAAATTATGCAACAAAAGGAAATAAAAGGCATCCAAAGTCGAAAGTAAGAAGTAAAATTATCTCCATTTACAAATAATATTTATATCTAGAATATTGGAAAAGGCCACAAAAATACCTACTAGCAAATAAACAAATGAAAATATCAGATCCAGACAAATTTAAGCATGAGTTCTAGGAAATTTTATTAGATATCACACTTTTCATAAATAGTTGCACATATAAATTGTTATAGCATGATAAAGGGACAGCTGTATAAATCTCATGTTTTATGAATCCATAATACTGTTGATATTGAATCTTGATAAAGATGTGAGAAAATGTAAAAATAATTTACTGTGAATAGGTATTATGGTAATATGTTTCACACCAATATTTGCTATTTGGTGATCTACCAAAAAACACCTTCAGAAACATTATACATAATGATATAATTATAGGATAATTCCCTTTAATGTCTGGTAAAAAAAAATGACATGCTCTGTCATTCAACACTGAATGGGAGAACCAGCCTATAAGTGCATTAGGACAAGAGAATTCAAAAAAGAAAACAAATGTACTAGAGCTAATGAGCAAATGTAGCAAATTTGCAGGATACAAAACCAATACATAAAAATCAGTTCTGCTTTTATATAACAGCAATAAACAATTGGAAAAGAAAACCATTTCGTTTGCAATAACATCTAAAAAATAAAGAATTATACAGTGAAAACTACAAAGCCTTACTCAAATAAATTGGAAACTGATACAAATAAAGGAAAAACATCTCATATTCATGGATCAGAATATAAGGTTGTCAAAATGGCAATATGGCTCAAAGTGAGCTATGGATTCAATGAAAACCCTATAAAAATTTCAATGGCCTTGTTGTAGAAATAGGAAAGCTTCCTCCAATATTTACATAGATTTGCAAGATATATTAAATACTCAAAACAATATGGGTGAACAAAATCAGAGGACTCATATATCTCAACTTCCAAACTTGCTATAAAGCTGCAATAATCAAAAGAGTATATAGTACTGGCAAAGAGATAGACATGAATATCTAAAGAATCAAACTAGGTGCCCAGAAATAAATCCACAAATTTATGGTCAACTAATTTTCAACAGGGGTGCCAAAACTGTTTACTAGGGAATGAATTATCTCTTCCACCAAGAATGCTGGGACAAATAGATATCCACATACAAAAGAACAATGTTAAAACACCGCTAACATACCTTATATAAAAAAAATTAACACAAGGTAGATCAACAATTCAAATATAATAGCTAAAATAATAAAACTTTCAGAATAAAACATAGGAGTAATCTTCATGACCTTAGATTTGGCAATGGATTCTAAGATATCTCTCTCTCTCTCTCTCTCTCTCTCTCTCTCTCTCTCACACACACACACACACACACACACACACAACTACTAAAAACACCCAAGCAGCCAAAGGGGAAAAATAGATAAAAAGGACTTTAGCACATCAAAGAACATTATCAAGAAAGTAAAAAGAGAATCTATAGAATGGGAAGAAATATTTGCAAATCACATTATCTGATAAGGATCCAATATACAAAATACATAAAGAATTCTTGCAATTTGTCAATGAAACCACAAACAATGCATTTTAAAAAATGGTCCAATGATTTGAAAATATATTTCTGCAAAGATATACAAATAGCATAACAAAAGTCCCTGAAAAGATGCTTAATCTCATTAGGTATTAGAGAAACACAAATCAAAGCCATAAGAAGATACCACTTCATATCTATGAGGATGACTATAATCAAAAAGTAGGGATAACAAATGTTGAAATTGGAACCCTCAAATATTTTTGGTGGAGATATAAAATTATTTAGTCACTTTATAAAACAGTCTTGAGATTTTCTCCAAAAGTTCAATATGGAGTTCCCATGTGACTCCATAATTCCACACTGGTGGCCCAGAAATAAATCCACAAATTTATCAGAACTTAAAGTATGTCTACAGAAGAACTTGTAAAAGGCCTAGCATGCTGCACACACCTGCAATACCAGCCACTCAGGAGATCGAAGCAGAAGGATCACAAGTTTCAGATGCCTTCACAACTTGGCCAGATCGTTTCTTTAAATAAATAAACTCTGGGCACAGTGGCCAATGCCTATTAACATAGCAGCTTGGGAGGCTGAGGCAAGAGGATTAGTTGAAAACCAGTCTTGGCAACAGGGAGGCACTAAGCAACTCAGAGAGACCCTATCTCTAAATAAAATACAAAATAGGGCTGGGATGTGGTTCAGTGGTCAAGTGCTCCTGAGTTCAATGCCTGGTACCAAAAAAAAAAAGAAAATAGTGCCAGATTATAGGTATTACAGACTCCTATAATCCTATTGGTTTGGGAGGCTGAGGCAGGAGGATTCCAAGTTCAAAGCCAACCTCAGCAATGGGGAGGGCTAAGGAATTAAGTGTAGCTAAATAAAGAATATAAAATAGGTCTGGGGAAGTGGCTCACTAGTGGAGTGCCTGAGTTCAATTCCCGGTGCCAAAAAAAAACTCTGAGCATGTAGATCAGTGGTATTGCACCTGTGGGTTCACTCTGTAGTACCAGAAATGACAACAAAACTTGTACACAAAAATCCAAAGCACAATTGTGCCCTAAAAGGGAAACCCAAATCTGGTAAATTTGATAGACAGATGGACAAAGTGTAGCATATCCATGCAATGGAATACTACTGAGTCCTGAAAACAATGCTGTAAAATAGGATGGGGAATTACAAGTCAGTGGTAGAGGTTTTAATTTGGGGGAATTAAAATATTTTAGAACCAAATAAACGTAATAATTGAACATTTCAATACACTAAATCACCGGAACCACTCACTATAAGATACCTTTATACTGTTTGAACTTCTGCTCAATAAAAAAGGTGGGAAGATTAGGGAGGCTGGAGGTGAAAGAAGACAGGCAGTGAGGACAGCGAGGGAAGGAGGGAGGGAAGGAATTTGTGAGGGTGACTGAGGAAGCTGAGGGACAAAACACAGGAAGGACGCCAAGACGTGCCCAGGCCAAAGTTGGCTTGGGCAGGGAGAAGACCACCGAGAGGATGAAAGGAACACGGTTGGCGTGCCCCCCACCCATCGATCGCTAGTGACGCTTGGTGTAGTCCGGAGTCAGCACTCACCACAGCTGAAGTAACAGCCCAGCAACAGTAGGGCCATGATGGACAGCATGACAAATCCCAATCTCTTGCGGGCCCACATTTTTATCAAAGATTGGCGTGTCTTGGCCCTGAAGCCTCTCAGAGATGTCAGCCAGCTAGTCTGAGGCATGGCTGCCATGATGGCCTCGCGACCAGAAATGATGTTCCTTGGATGCGTGGCGGTAGCCGGATTCTCCACCTTACACCCTGCCTCACAAGATACCAGCCTTGCTCGTGCCCCCCGCACTGCCCGGCTCTTGGACCTAGTCCTCCGCCTTGTTGACCGAAGCTCGGATGGCATGACTCTAGTATGCCACCCCAACGAATTGTGGCCTCACTGACTAACTGCTCTACAACCCAGAAGCCCCTGGGGCCAGCCCATGACCCAGAAGCCCCTGGGCAGTGGAGCTCTCGTGGCACGTGAAGCCCTCGCGAGGCCTGAGTCAGGATCCTTCCCAGTGAAATATCGTCTCTTTCCAATGTCTTGCTCTTTTAAACTCCTTGAATGGTGCCTTGCGCACCCTTGCCCCATTTAAAACCCGTATAGGTTCTTGTTAACTGCTTATTCAATAAATGCATGTATGAGGCTGAGGCCATGTCAGTAGCCTGACTGTTTATCATACATCAACACAAATAAATAACTTGTTTATATTCCTGTCTTGGATGCTTATTCCTCCTCACGTGCATTCCTATGATATGCTCGCTAGTTGCTACAGTCACTGCAATTAGTCACCACAGTACTCTATAGCCAACACTAGTTAAATATTACTATTTAAATGCAAATATTAATTATTCAAAATTAAATGAAGTTAAGAAATCAATTCCTCAATCATCATAGCCACAATATCAAGGGCTCACTTGCCACCTGGCTTTTAACTACTATCTGAGATAGTACTGGTATGGACCTTTTCCATCATGGCAAAAAGTTTTATTGGGCTGTATTGGATGTTAACATGACTACAGTGAAGATAGTAGATATTCAACCTATTGTTACATTACAAGAAGAACTTATAAGTGAGACAAATTGCAGTTTGCCTTCTGAAAGGAAAGTGACCACAACACTCGGAGCGACCAAGAGATCTTTTTGCAGCAATTAAACAGAGGAGAAAAGAGAGAGGGGGGGTGGAGAGCATGCAAGCAAGGGAGACAGAGAGATCAAGAGAGAAAGACAGAGCAAGAGAACAAGACAGCAAGAGAGCAAGAGAGAGAGGGGCCCAGCAGGAGGGAGTTTTTATAGCCCAAATCTAACCTGGGTCTGCAAGCTGCCTTGTTGGCACAAGAGGTGGGGGGTTGAATGTTCAGCTTTGACACAAACAGGTGATAAAGGACCAGACAGAGGGGGATTTGAGTGTGTGGGCTATCCTGCAGCTAACATTTGTTCAGCCTGCCCTGCAGATAACATAGTTCAGACTGTTCTGCACGTAACACCTTCAGACACCAGTAATGAGCTGTGGATAGCCTGATTGTGAGGATGCCTCCTAGCTCTGGCATGCTGTGACCCATACTTAACTGCAGTATTTGGAGTTGCTCTAAACAGCCAACACTCCTAAGCAATCCACATTATACTATTGGACACCCAACTTACTAACAGTAACTCAGAGATCAAAATTCTTACTATTACACCTAAGGTTTATTCCTGCATCATAACATAGCAGAGAGCATCACAACTTGAGACACAGCAAGCTGCTGACTCAGATCTCTTTTCTCCTTAAAAAGCTAATAATGCTACCGTGGGGCCCCACCTCCATGATTTCTTCTTATCCTGGTTATTCCAAGGTTACACAACCAAATGTCATTAAGAAAGGAATATGGGAATTATGTTTTTAACATGTGAAATTTGGGTAACACATTCAGAGCATAGCATCTTTTATAGATTATCAAATATAAATTTAAAATCCTGCACTGGCTTTCTTCTTTCATGAAAACAAAACAAAAAATGAAAAAAAATTGAATTGTGATATGGTACATATCATTGCCCAGAATATAACTACTGTTCTTGTGGAAAACAGAGAATTGACACTATTTTTTAAAATACTACCACAGAAACTACTCTAAAATAATTGCCTTTTATAGCAACTCAAAACCAATGTTGCTAGCATCATTTTGCTATGGTGCCACTTAATATTCATAAAGTCCCTTTAAATGTAATTACACAGAGATCATCACAATTAAAGGAAACAATTGGATAAATAGCATTTCAATAAGAAAAGAAAAGTGTTCTACCTCTAGCCTTGAATGTTGTCACCTGGATGGATTTGCTTTGGGTTTCAGACCTTGACAACTAGGCACCTGGCTTGGCTTCTTGCATTCCTAACTCCTGTTTTTTAATAATTGTATCTCTCTTTAGCACCTATTGTTTGTTTCAGAAATAATTGTGTTTCAAAAACACAAAAGCAAAGGAAAAATATTTAATCACTGTACTGAGGTAATACTGTTGATAATTTGGTATATAATCTTCCAGTTTTCCGTACGCTTGTTGATTCGCTTAATTTTTTTAACAAAAGTGAAGTTATCCTCTATATACAACTTGTAACTAACTTGCTTGGTATCTTCTTTTTATTTTCCTGTGTTATTGAATAATTATACCACAATAAATAAATATATCACCATAGACAAAAATGAAAAAATGTTCAACCTCAGGTGATCAGGGGAATACAAATTGAATCAATAACATATCACTTCACTCTTTATCAGATTTAGAAAAAATCAATAACAACAAGAATTTACAGAAATAGGAATTTAATCATTGCTCATGGGGGTGCAAATGGGTACAATGACAGGGTGGTTTGGGTTTTTTTTTTCCTTTGACAAAACCTTGTAAAGTTAAATATTCACCTACTCTGTGACTCAAATTCCATTTTAGGTATTTACTCTTTCACTATGTATACAAAGAGAGATGTACAAAGATGTTCATTTTTATAATGAAAATAATGCCAAAGATGTCTCAGTGGGTCAGTGTGTAACTCCAAATATGAACAAGAGCAATCACACTAACTAACAAAGTAATTCTCTTTTTTGCTTACTTCCTACCATGCTGGCAGTCTCAAATTCTAATTCAATGTAATCATGGTTGTGTTCCCTGAAAAAAAAAATCCTCTCTTAAATAACGGTATAGTTCAAAATTGTCCTCCAAAAGTCCATGTTTCAAAAGCTTGTTTGTCAGATTATAGTACTATTGGACGCAGTGGGACCTTTAAGAGGTGGGGCCCAGTGGAAGGAAGTTAGGTAATTGAGGTCTTGGTCTTAAGGGAATATTGCATTCCTGTCCCCTTCCTTTTTTTTCCTTAGTTACCTTGAAGTAAATAGGCCTCCTCTGCTACACACTCCCACCATGAAGTACTATGCCACAACAGGGCCAAGTAACATGGATTAAAACTTCTGAAGCCAAACTTCTTCTTCCAAGCAAATGAGATAACTTCCAGGCAAAAGGGATAACCAGCTATACTGCTCAAACTTCTGCATACCAGGAAGTATTCCCTTCTCCACTCTCCTATTGATCACCTGTAAGTATAGCTGAAATATCACAGCAATCAACATACTCCTAAGAAAGAACTGTTCTCCCTACTTCCTCTGACCATTTGTCTCTAGATAAATTTCAGCCTTCTTACTACCAGTATAAGGACGAAGTTAACATGCACAGTAGCAGAAAAGATGGACAAAAAAAACTGGATCCCTAAGGATATCATTTAATCACACCAAAATTTGACCTATCTTGGAATTTCCAGTTGTGTGACAATTCATTTCCTGATAGTTTGAAACACTTTAAGTTTGTTTTTGTTTCTTACAGCCAAATGATTCTCAATACAGTTGTCCAATCTATCTTATGAGGAAGGATATCATGGCATGTACCTTTTCTTCACATAGCCCAAATTCAACAACATCAATAGAAAACACTCCAGATTTGAAAACCACATAGGTAAAAGCTATATATGGAGAGAGATCCTTAAGTATTTGTTGAACTAATGAATAAACATAATAATAATAAATGTTTTCAACAGCTCTTGCTCTAAGTACATATATCTCTCCTTTATTGTTTGTATAAGTCAGGGTTTAGTTGCAGATAACTATACTAGTTAGTTGGTTGGTTAAAATACAAAGGTAATTAGTTTAAACAAAAAGAAATTTAATAGAGCTTTCTGCTTCCTGGCTGCCAGGAGCTGAGAAGCTTACTCCTCCATGCCTTTCTGCCATGATGTTCTATCTCACCACCAGCCCAGAGCAATGGAGATGGCCAAACATGGACTGAATCTGTGAAATCAGTTTTGCTAAGATGTACAACCTGACATCAAACCTGTGATCCTCCTACCTCAGCCTCCAGAGTTTATGGGATTACAGACATATATCAGCATACATGACATCATATTAATGTTTAATCTCTATAGTTTCTTAGTATATTCTAATTTCAATTCTTATATTGGTTATTTGTGGGTTCTTTTTCTCCATGAGTCTTGCCAAAAGTTTGGAAAATTTTATTAGCTTTTGAAAGAAGCAGTCTTTGCCATTTTTTGCTTTTATTTATTTATTTATTTATTGGTTATCTTTACTAAATGTGCTCCATTCTTATGTCTTCATTATTTCTTCTTTCTTTTTACTCCTTGGTTTCTAACATCTTGAGTATATTATTACCTTATTAATAGTTAGGCTTTCTTGTCCAATATGTGACTTGAATGCTATAATTTTATTGTTAATGTTCCTATAGCTATATCTTACATGTTTGGATATGTACTAATTTAATTATTATCATAACAAAATGTATTCTAATTCACATTGATTTCTTCTTTGATCTATGACTTATTTAGAAACATGTCTATTAATTTACAAATATAAAGTAATGTAAGGTTGTTTTATTATTTATTTATGATTTAACTGAACTGTGGTTAAAGATTATACACTTTTTAATTTCAATCATTTGAAATTTTCTTAAAGACCCATTTTAAGTCCAATATTTGTCAATATTTTATACATACTAAGAGAATATGTTTCCTCCAATTTTGGTTGGAGAATTTTATGTATGACCATAGCTCACATTTCTTCTTGATTAATCCCTATATTTTTTCCTTTAACTGAAATCTTTAGCTTTCTTATATTTAATGTTATTCATTACTAATATTTTTGACTTAAATCCACAGTTTATCTGTGTTATGTTGTACCTGTTCTAAATTTTTTTCCACCCTTACCTTATTTTTGGATAATTTAGAGTCTTTTGTACTCCACTAGTTTTAGGTTATACTTCTCTCAATGCTTATTTTGGAAGTTCTGACATGTATCTTTACCTTGTCAAAGTTAAAAATTACTCATTGT